AAGGAGAAAGAAAGGGGGGAAGTAAGGAATAGGGGAAGTGTGTAGAGCATAAAAGGAAAGAAAGAGGGAAGAGGAACGTAGCGAGTAAGGGAGGAAGGAAGGGAGAGGTACGTGTGGGAGGTGTGTTAGTATTAACGACTTCGCTGAAAGGTTGAGTTACAGGGTCGTGTTGAGTAATGACTAGACGAGGCAAACACTGGCAGACGAATGGACAGACAAAATGACAGGGATAGACAGACAGAAAGGCAGGCAGAGCGAGATAGACAAATAGATAGACGAGGCAAAATGACGTGAACTGACAAACTGAGAAACAGACAGACAGACAGAATTAAATATGCAAAGATAATCAGACAGACAAAGAGGAACAAAGACGGACAGACAGATAGACATATAGAAAGTAATGGATAGACAGTCAGATAAACATATAGTTAAACAGGGACAGACAGACAGGCAGAGAAACATACGGATAAACAGACAGCGTCTCAGTAGGCAGATAGGGGCAGACGGTTACCCGGTACCTGCAGTGAAATCATAACGCACCCCCCCCCCCTCCAAAAAAAATCGAAACCCGAGGTATGAAAATGAATACATTCAAATAGCATTTACATAAAAAAAATCATTAGAACGAAGAAAAAAATATAATAAAAGAATAATCAGATTTAGAGTCCATTAACTTTGTAACCCGTTTTCAGTCAGGTTGAAATTCGTCAATCCCTTTAAATGGGACTTCCCAATCACGGTCCATTAACTAAGATTAGAGAATTAAAAGGGTGAGATCCTGTCCTAAAACTGTGTTATTCTGTCTCTTTCATCTGTGTGTGTGTCATGCGGCTCCTTCTGTCCCTCTGTCCTCTCCTTCTATAATAATAATAATAATAATTAACGGTTTTATTGAAAGAGCTTGGCAGCCAGAAGGCTGAAAATATACAGTTACATATTTGGGGAATGGGTTACGAATTACAAATAATATACAAGTGACATAAGTGACACAAATAAGACATATAGTAACTTAGATGGGGATCAGCTCAAAATACAGTTCATTTCAACATAGTGACAGTGTAGGGAGCAGTGTTTACTGGGAGTGAATACACTGGTTTATTACATGTTATTGATAATTTTTACAATGGTTGGGACTGGGCTGTTCTTATAGCGATCAGTTCGTGCACGTATGGGCTGGATGCGGTTGTGGTGTCGAACAGCAATTCTCGGACAGGGGATCTCAGGTGGTAGTAGGGGCCGGTGTCGGGGATGGTGTAGAAGCTTCTTACCAAATTTGCAGATGAGGTCGTGGTGATGGTCAGTGAGAGTCGAAAGGGTCAGTGTGTTGAGCGCTTCTTGATATGTGGAGTAGGAAGGGGAGAGAACGATGATACTTGAACTGATTCTCTGCTCAGTTTAATACATATAGAGGTATAAATGTTATGCTTTTATGTGTAAATACTTTGAGTACTTTATGAATATTATTTGTCAATGTGTTTATTTTTATAGTCGTTCCTTACGTGTGTTAAAGATTTTTATTTTACCTCGGTAAGTGTTTAGTGCTTAGTGGTGGTGAGGGTGAGGGAGGAGTGTAGGTGGGGGTGAGGGAGGAGTGTGGGTGAGGGTGAGGGTGACGAAGGAATGTGGGTGAGGGTGAGGGTGTGTAATAAAGCCACTTCGGTCACCTTTAACGAAATTCCCTTTAAATTCTGGTGTTCGTCTGGCAGGGAAGAGAACTTACTGAGAGGGTTGACGCTATTGCAGTTTCCTCAGTTAAGAAACAGCTCAAGAAAATAATCACGGTCGATTCTCCATCTTTTCAAAACTTTGACTTGGGCACTTGTGATCCACCAAATATATCTGTAATTGAGTCCAATGGAAAGTTGATCGGGGCCTTTCAACCACGCGAAACTCTGGTGTTCGACTTGGTAAGACGCTGAAAAGATATCCTTGATTTTTTTTTACACACGTCTGTGATACAACTATTGGTTAAAAGTATTTCTCGACGTAAGATTCTGATAAAACTAATGGTTAATGGTATTTTTTGAAACCCTTCATGATTTTTCCTAACATTTACTCAACAAACTGAACCAGAAATAACCTAACAGCCAGTTTATCTTTTATATTTATTTTTCTCCTTTTTAACACCAGTGACGATAACATTAAAAAAAGTGTAAGATATTAAATATTTATTATAAACCATGAAAGTGGGTTCCATAGTCATGACTGCCCGTTAGGGACAGTGTAAATACAGCCTTCGATTATAAATTTAGGTACCCATTTATACAGTTGGGTGAACTGGGAGTGACCGGGCATAGAATCACCGGCCCCCGGAAAAGGTGGAGAACGCTATGGTGCTGGGATTTTTTTTTTTAATTTTTGACGTTTGACAAAATTCCTGAAATAAATTTAAAACTAATAGGAATATTTTTGGATAGGCTTTATATAAGTATAAGTACACCAAAGAATAACATATAATATTTGGCTTTATTTAACACATAAACTTTATCTGACTTTATGGCTACTGTACGAACTTGATAACCAAAAGGTTACTAAAAGTCACTTTACTCTAATGAAATTTACTGTAATAAAGATAACGACTGGTGTTCTGAACATAACAGCTGGTGTTCCGAACAGTAACAGCTGGTGTTAAATAAAGCCAAATATTATATGTTATTCTTTGGTGTACTTATACTTATATAAAGCCTATCCAAAAATATTCCTATTAGTTTTAAATTTATTTCAGGAATTTTGTCAAACGTCAAAAATTAAAAAAAAAAAATCCCAGCACCATAGCGTTCTCCACCTTTTCCGGGGGCCGGTGATTCTATGCCCGGTCACTCCCAGTTCACCCAACTGTATAAATGGGTACCTAAATTTATAATCGAAGGCTGTATTTACACTGTCCCTAACGGGCAGTCATGACTATGGAACCCACTTTCATGGTTTATAATAAATATTTAATATCTTACACTTTTTTTAATGTTATCGTCACTGGTGTTAAAAAGGAGAAAAATAAATATAAAAGATAAACTGGCTGTTAGGTTATTTCTGGTTCAGTTTGTTGAGTAAATGTTAGGAAAAATCATGAAGGGTTTCAAAAAATACCATTAACCATTAGTTTTATCAGAATCTTACGTCGAGAAATACTTTTAACCAATAGTTGTATCACAGACGTGTGTAAAAAAAAATCAAGGATATCTTTTCAGCGTCTTACCAAGTCGAACACCAGAGTTTCGCGTGGTTGAAAGGCCCCGATCAACTTTCCATTGGACTCAATTACAGATATATTTGGTGGATCACAAGTGCCCAAGTCAAAGTTTTGAAAAGATGGAGAATCGACCGTGATTATTTTCTTGAGCTGTTTCTTAACTGAGGAAACTGCAATAGCGCCAACCCTCTCAGTAAGTTCTCTTCCCTGCCAGACGAACACCAGAATTTAAAGGGAATTTCGTTAAAGGTGACCGAAGTGGCTTTATTACACACCCTCACCCACATTCCTTCGTCACCCTCACCCTCACCCACACTCCTCCCTCACCCCCACCTACACTCCTCCCTCACCCTCACCACCACTAAGCACTAAACACTTACCGAGGTAAAATAAAAATCTTTAACACACGTAAGGAACGACTATAAAAATAAACACATTGACAAATAATATTCATAAAGTACTCAAAGTATTTACACATAAAAGCATAACATTTATACCTCTATATGTATTAAACTGAGCAGAGAATCAGTTCAAGTATCATCGTTCCTTTAACACGAACTGTGCCAACTAGAAGGATTCCCTGAGCGTGTGTACCAACCTGAGTCACTGAAAACACACACACACACACACACGGGAAATGTAATTGTGTAAAGAAGTTAAATCAGAGGACGTGAACGGGTGGTAGTTTACGTGATGGTAGTTAGCGTGTGGATGAATTATGCCTATCTATCTATTAATCAAGCCATCTGTTTACCTATATATTTTATTTTATATATCTATCGAAGTGTCTCTATTTATCAACCTTTATTCTTTTATATATTATCCATTGTTATGCTCATATATGCTGCCTTGGTCACTGTATACTTACATACGTGTCTATACAGGATATTCATTTATCGACTAAATTTTAAGTATAACTATTAATATATGTATCCACCTACATATCTATCCAATAGACTGCCTTATGCTCTTTTTTCTTCAAGTTTCTCTTCAGTTTGAAAGGAGCACCATGGAGGGTGATCATTACGTCGAGTTATTCCTTGATATGAGTCTTGGTTATAAGGGTAACACTCCCGTACCGAGGTGAGGATGTAATAAGATAATGAGAATGGCACCCAGTAATTTACCTCGTGATGGTGTGCTTCCTGGCGTGTATCTCAAAGTAAAGTTTGTTTCATTAATTTATTTAAACCCGTCTGTCTACTGTATCCATAATCATCATTTATTGTTATTGTTGTTACAAGTATTATTATATTTATTTGTTATTATCGTTATTTATTATTATTGTTATTGGGGCAAGGAAGCAGGTACTTCCTCTCAGCTTGACGTGTATAGTGTCTTGACTTTCCCTCCCATTTTCTGTTATTTGTTGACCAAAACGGGAAATAAGAAGTAACTAACACGGGGATGTTTGCTCACCTGTCACTATAGACGGAGAGTACCTGGAGGAGTACCGAGAAAATTTAATCTTGATATTTTGTTTATTTTTATTTGTTTACGACGTGGCGTTCAACTGGACAAGCGGAATCACTAGTTAGATTCGTACTGGTATAATAGTGTTATCAACCTATTTTTATATTATTTCATTATCATTATTGCTTCTCTGATTGTTTTTCGTTGATTAAATTTTGGTGGCTACAGAATTAAGCCACGGAAAGCCCCGACAACCTTCCTAAGTGGTGGAAACAATGAGCAATTGGGTTGTGCCCCAATTTCATCAATTCCCACCAATCAGGATCTTCGTTCCCCAAATTCTAGCCAATCAGCGTGCAGACAACCCTATAAAATGAGACAGGTTTTGTGTTGATGTGTCAGTCAGTGCTCTGCTTTTGACTAAGAAAGGTAAGGAATTTACTTATGTTTGTTTTTGATTTGTGTTTCGTTTTTTTGATTTGTGAATTTTGTCTTATGTTTTTGTTTTTAGTTGTTTGGTTTATTAAGTTGAAGTAGATTCTTGTTTCTGCTTATTAACCGAAGTTATATGCCGTTTTTAATCGAATTTGCTAATATAGGTCAAATTTTGTGGAGCGTTCGTAGGTGTATTAAGTAATCTTGTAAGCGGTCCTAATTCATCTCTCGATGGTGTAAGTTGTCTCAAGACGTGATATTTGTAAGTGCCTAAAAATTATCTAAAGTTAAATCAGATATAACAATTTATGAATTAAATTTAAAAATTAATCTTGTCCAGCTTTGTAATAGAATTTGCCTTATCGACTATTATACCTAAAGTTTTTAAATTGATAACTAACTTGCCCATCCTTGCACAAATGAAAGCCAATGACTTGACCTAGAAATTAACCATAAGCTTCTTGTATTAACATTACCATTTATAAACAGTTATCGTAATTGCTGACTTACCATGAAAACCACTCGTCAAATAGAGTAGCCATAGCATTAATAATTTGAAAAATATTTTTACTTTTGGCGCAAATTATTGTCAATTTTTTACTGTATTTCACGAAATGGGAGATGTTTGTGAAAGCGTGTAATTGTCAAACTAATCCACTTTAAGCGGTTCTCTTCACAAACATGGTGTTATTTTTATAAAGTGCTTGAGGCTGATGCATGTATTTCATAAATATATTCCAGTAAACTGGTCGACAGTAAGTGGAAATGGTATTCTTTACCAATTAAGTTCATCTGCTGCATTGTCAGTAAATTATTAAATTTTTAAGTTTTCGAGTCTTAAGAAACTTAAATTTTTATTTTTATTTCCCAGGTCGTCATGATGGGGTTGACAACCGCATTTCTGTTACTTTCATTAGTGGGATTCTGCTGTAAGTCTATTCAAACATTTGTTCATAAGTGGTTTCTTTTTAATTAAATTTAACTTTGAAAAATTTTGTATTCATGTTTAGTTGCTACACACGTTTAATTTCGAACAGGTGTGGATCTCGTAAAAACTGTTAATAGCGGTCGGAAAGATTGCTGTTATGGTGATGACACCTTCCCGCACGGTGCCGTAGTCCTGAGCCTACCAAAGATCTGTATGCAGCTTGTATGTAACCATGGCAAGGTTGAACGTCGGTACTTGGAGACACCAGGAGACAGGAACTGTGAGTAATTTGTTTTCTGGTTACTAGATTTAAACCTTGTTTTGTGAAGACTCTCGCACAACCACCAGTAGTGGTAGATAATGAATTTAACTGGTTTTTAACTTCAAGTCTAGATTTGTACGGTTTATAAAACGTGGATCACACTCCCGTGTTTAACTATGAAATTTGCGGGGTAATTTGAAAAGTATATGCGGTGATAGCTTCGGTAGGTTATCGCTCCTTTCCCGTACCACGATCTGAGTGGTAGATAAGTTGCCTTGCAGGAAGATATCTGGGTGGATTGAATACGTGATTACAATTTTGACATTCTAAAACTCTTTTTTGCGAGTTTACCTTGGCTTTCCTAGCACCCTCCCATAGTTCCCGTTGCCTCTATTCCATAATGAGCCCGAAGATTCTAACTGGACCGCAGAGTGCATTGGTAACTCCTGGTTTCAGCGTGTCTCTGGGTTCGTGGAACGCTAAAGGAGAGCAGAATATTGTGGTTGATCTCTACACAAACCTATCTTAGCCCTATAACTAGGAACTTCTACAAGGACCTTAGTGCTGTGTTCTGACGATACTATTCATTATAGAACATCTACAACCATAATATAGTATACTGTAGGAGTGTAGATAGTGAAAAACTAGTTTAATACTAAACGATGACTCTTCGTTCAGGCTGTGAGTTCGACGGACAGATGTATCCACAAGGAGCGGAACTTTCAGCTCACTGTATCACCATGACCTGCAAAAACACGTGCTGGGAACCAATGGACGAAATAGACGACTGCTGTGAGTTGCTATTGACTAGACATCATTTGCCAGTTTAAAAGTTCTTTTAGTAGATGTATTTGGTTTGCTTGCAGGGGTTTCCAGTGAAGGCTCGACGCGTTAAACTGCTCTGGAAACTAAAATGGTGTCTTCATTGACTAAAGCCTTTGAGCAGTCGATAAATATACCATCTGTACACAAGGCGGTAACAGCACGGTATTCTTTTAAACTTCATTACGACATTAACTTTGCACACTACTTTGGAATTGGTATGAACTATATGCTCGGCCGCTAGTCACTCCTGCCAAATTCCCGCAATTAATCTGCTTTTATTCTTCGATTAACTTTATTTTCTTGTATTATTTTCAACAGAAGATGGATTTAAAATTTATTCTTAATAGTACAATATTTTTCTTAGTCTAGATTTATCCACATACTAGGCATTTAATTCCGCACTAAAAACACTGGTAGCACTTGATGGTATAAACTTGATTTACCATCCCCAGGTAACGTATGTTCCCTCGACAATGACCCTCATATGATCACCTTCGATGACTACAAATACGAATGGCATGGAACCTGTAACTACTCCTTGGCCCAGAGCGACTCTACTGAATTTCCTGAGATTGGAGTCTTCGGTGATTTCAGACCCTGCAACCGTAAAGCATCCTGCCTTGACATTTGCACATTTAAGAACGACGAACACACGGTCATAACACTGACGCATAGCTCTGTCTTCGACGTAAGATTTAGTTTTAAAATTTGTTCTATAGTCGATGTTCTTTTAAATTAATGAAATGTATTATCCAGTATATATTAACATGTGTTGTTTCTACTAACGTGATCTCTTCCTTAACTATATTAGATACTCGTGAACGGTGATCCTTACCATGTGAAGCCCGGCAAGGTGCAGGCTGTGAAGTCTTCTCATGGTTGCCATCCCGTCTTAGTTTGGCGTATAAGTTTCAGATGCATCAGACTCCTGGGCTCGTCAAGACTTATGGTTAGTTTAATTGGTTATGGCTTTATTGTTCTTTAAATGAAGATGAAAAACTTTAAGGAATTTACAGAGTACATTAAATTCTATAAATAATAGTTAAACAAATTGCCTTTGCTTGGTACTTTTAATATTCAAGGTCTGCATTGTCTTCCTGTAAGCAATTAAATTCTGTTATTAACAATCCCTTAACAAAGACTTAAGTTAGAGGACGTACTCTAGACCAGGTCTTTAAGGCGGGGAAGAATAGACTTGCGCCGTGAGACGTTTTGGAAGATTTTTTCTCATTCTAAAGAATATTGTAATAATCGGGTTTTGGCAGACGTGGAGTTTATCTACGTGCCAAGTAACTCCACTAATTGATACGAGGTACTGTGTACACTAATACATAAATGTAGGACACGACCGGTTAGATTATAAAATGTTGCTTTAACTTTGGTATAGTTACAAACGGGCAATTCTTGGTTTACGATTTAACTTGACTTTACGGAGTTCTGTTAATACTGCACTTGGCTCTTAGGAGTTTGCTTGAACATGGTTCAATTTTGTTCATTGCAAAATTTACTTGCCTGTAAGTAGTCTACCT